CCCCCCCCTCCCCCGTAGGTATTATCACTTTTGTCCAGGTTAGGGGAGATGGGCGTGAGCACGGTACAAACGACGTCCTGGTTTTCATGACGTTTTGGAAAAACCATAGCGAAGTTACGACGTCGCGAGGGAACTTATTTCTAAAGTTAGCTTCAGTAAAGCTGCCTGTGGCCGTGTTGGTTGTAGCTACAACTGTGTAGCTACTACAAACAGGGACGTGGTGGCCATGCTAAGGCATGCCAGTACTTTGGGTTGCCTATGCACTGGCTGCAGGGGATGCAGGCGCGGAGCGGGTGTTGCGGGATAGAGTCAGATAGAGTGCGGGAGTGGCAGCTCCCCGCCAGCGCATCGCGCCTGCAGTCACTGCAGCCCGTGCATAGGCAACCCAAAGTACTGGTATGTCATGTCTTAGCCTGGACACCCTGTAGTAATAGTGTTATCGACAGATTTTTTAAAAAATAAGGTTTCTCTGGTTTTATTCATACATGTATAAAGGTGGATTCAGAGTTCTCTAAAAGCGAGCGTGATTCGCACGCAAAGCGTGATTTTCACGCCCGGCGTGATGAAAGTCGATCCCTGATTGGTTGCGTGAAGCTTTCGAAGCGTAAAAATCACGCCTGGTGTGAAAATAACGCTTGCGTTTCGTGAACTCTGAATTCACACTAACTGATTGGTTTTGAAGGAATCGTTCTTGTCTGTTGCTAACCGCTCTCTTCGGGACCGCTGGCCTTCGCACGTCCGAAACCTCCGCTGGGGCGTCATCATCCTGTTCGTCTTCGTCGGAGTGGGATCAATTGCTGGACCCTTTTACGCAGAGACTGAGGTTGATGATATTGACTATTGTGGACTAAAACGAATGTAGTTGTTTGTTCGTAGCTTTGTTGTCTACCCACCCATGCAAGAAACACAAAGAACTAATATTCGCTCATCTTCTTAAACAATGAACAAAAACTTGCAATAATATCGAGTTGAACGCATGTTTCTTGCAGTTCGGGAATTCTGCGATCACCTTTAATATCGTGTTTAAAAATATGTACTACTATATCCCATCTGCGTACGTTTCCATCACATCGTCTACGCTGTTTTTTATGTTCACCATCACGTACTTTCAACAGCTGCATGAGGCGGCCATCGCTCTCGGCGAGCACCTAGACCAGGTATGTAACCTGGGGGAAAAATGTCTTCAGCTTGGAGTGCTCTTGGGATTAGCTTGGGGTCCTTGAGAGTGCCATACGAACCCGGTGAATATTTTGAAGTTCAACTGTACCGACCGAGTACACAACTTGGAGTTCACTACTTAAGTGTGTACCGGCCCCAGGGGACAGAAAAAAGTCACTTTGACATCATTTGATGTCAAATCAAAAAATAATGAGGTCAAAGTGATGAATTTAAATTTGACTTCGGTCAAAATGATGTCAAATTGATTTCCTCTACAATCAATTTGACATCATGTGACATCATTTTGAGGTCAAGTTCCAAAATTAAATGAGGTCAAAATGATGAACTAAATTTTGACCTTTTTCTGTTCCCTGGGGCTGCACGCTTGGTTTATCAGTGTATGCGTTTTGGCTCCATCTGACCCAGTTGCGCCCGGGTGACACTGCGGGGGTGCGCCGTGCCCAAAAGCTCTGGGTCAGCCTTCGCGCGCTCTTCAACGACCGCCCCAGCTTCTACCTGCTGGATGTGTTCTTCATGTCGCAACTCTTTGCCATGCTGCTGTTGTCCGTCTCCCTCTGGTACGACCTCTCGTGAGTACTTCCCAGCCCTTATTGATTCTGTGATTTAAATGGTCTCGAGGCTGTTGTTTTTCTTGCATCATCTGGTTCGTCTCTCTCGCCCGCCAGGTCAGCTAAGATGCTGGTGTCGGCCTCGACGCAAGTCATCTGGATGTTCGTGTTGTCATTTCAGGCGTATCGGATGAGTGACCTGGCGCACGGGGCGGTATCCGCGGTAATAATACATCGGACACCGACACCCCAAAATGCGTGTCATTTTATTAATATAAGTACATTGCACGTGATGTATAGTTTACTTGATTCATTCGAGCACTACAAAAACTAGTCAGCCTGTGGTGCAGCTAGATTGTGAGTAATCCTAGGCTTAGGAGAAAAACCAGGAGAGCGGACCGGTGACGGCCCAAAAATATCTCTCTTTTGAACGGAGAATTATTTTTGTGACTCTAATTGAGTCATAGTTTACGGCCCTCACCCAATGTTAGAAAGGTTAGTCTCTACAATCGGGCCGTGCTAGAAGGATTCCACTTTCTGAGAGTGAGAATTTTGTGAAAAGCACTCAAATGGGGCGAGCCTGAGATCTCGCTTTGCTTGCGCGAGGGAAATATACCTCACTCATTTCGTGCACGAAACCTCACTCCGGGTTTGAATTCGCAATGAGCCCAAGATGGCAATTTTACTAGTTACAATTTCAAGACATTTCAAAATGAGCGCATTGCTCTTGACTTAGTAAGGTACACGAAAAGTACACGCTTTTTTAGGGTGCAATAGCTCTTACATCCATTCGCGTATTCGTTTTTCAACCAACATTTGAACAGTACTCGTCTGATGCAGATGCACGGCCCTGTGACTGCTGCTCTGGACAGGCTGTCGATGGATGCGCGTGACGAGCATTTCCATAGAGCTGTAAGTCGTCTGCTGCTCCGAATATTTGTTTCTTGCACTTTTGGACGTGCATTTACCTCAGAGTGGGGGTGCTAACGCCGACATACGATGATGCAGGTACTGCTCTTTTACATGTCCGTGAGTTCCCGGCCGGCTCACTTGTCGCTAAGCGGTTTCGCGAACATCGACCGACCTCTCTTCACTTCCGTGAGTATCAACGTCAGTTGTCACACCTTTTGCAACAATTTAGCACACAATTACCGGTTGTGTTCTTCTTGTCATACAGATCGTCTCCCTAACTGTCACGTATCTCATCATCCTCATGCAGTTTCGCACGGATGTGTCTCAACAGTAAAGCTTGGCCAAACAGGAAACAGGCAGCACAAGGAAGGTTACAGACATGGGATACTCCGCAAACCGCATTGCGGGTACTGTTGATGGCGTTCTTGTAGAGCTTGCTGAATTGACTCAGGACGACCACGTCGAACCAGGTCTTGGACTTGGACTTGTTGTCGAACTTGTTGACGAGACAGTTGGCTCCCAAGTACTTCTTGCACTGCGA